TCCTGCCTGCTGCGTCCCCAGAGCAGGGCCAGGCCAGTGGTCGCCACCGCCCTTACCCCTTCTGGTCTGCCGGGGCCGGGCAGACCCAGGCCAGACCAGCACAGACAAGAGATGGACTGTGGTGGCGAGTGGCTGGCAGGCCCTACCTCTGGATTACAGACGCGGAATCATTCTCCCGTTTCCGGCGCTTCCTCTCCGCGTAGCCCCTGAACACCCTGGGAAACCGCAGGGAGTCAGCACTGCCCTTGGCCACAGGCAGAGTGACAGAGACAGGGGACAGAGACGCAAGCACAGGGACCGGTGGGGCGTCCAGGGCGCCGGGCCAGGCAGAGCGGTCCTGGCCTGCCTCACCCGGCTCCCCGCAGGCCCACTGTGACTTCGATGCACGCAGGACACAGCACCCCCTCAGTCAAGGCCCACGTCCCTGGCCTGCCCAAATCTATTTGGGGGCGGGAGGGTCCCTGAGGGACAACCACGTGCCCTTGGCTTGAGGTCCCACAGAGTACTTACGAGATGCTGGAGTCACAGCCGGAAGGGGCAGCATGAGAGAGAAGACACAGTGAGCCTCCACCCCTCAGCCCCGGCTCCCTGTGGTCAGTGCCCTCTGTGTCCTTGACTCGGGGTCCCTCACACATACCCCAGGCACCAGCAAGGTGCTGGCTACACTGTGAGCCAGCCTCTGAAAGGGCGGTGGACACTGCAGTCACTGTGGCCCATGCCACCAGGCGCTGTGACCTGGTCAGGCCAGCAAAGGCCTGACTGTGCCCTGCCAGCCCTGGGACCAGCAGTAGAGATGGAGGTCCCCAACCAGCCCCAGGGCAGTGGTGGGCCCCCTGGGGTAGCTGTGAGGGGGGAGCTTTTTTGGTGTGGGGGACACCGCAGCAAAGGATGCCTTCCTGGAAGGGACCCCACGTGTGTGTCACAGGTGAAGGGCAGACTCCCAGAGCCCCTAAGTTGTCATCACTTGTGGCGTTCATGGAACACAAGTAGCCCACTGTTGGGGGCATGTGTGATAGCAGGACTGGGGGACACAGGCCCAGGAGGACCACGCCCACTGGTGACTGTATCAGCTGCAGCCCCAGGCTGGGTACCAAGGACAGGACAGGACAGGACAGGCAGGACTGAGAAACTGGGTGATGGTGGAGGGCTGAGAGGGTGGGGGTAGGGCAGTGGGTTCAGAAGAGCCGCCAGCCCTGCCTCCCTTCAGACTGATGCCACTTGTGGGCACGTGGGGCTGCTCAGAAACGGCCACCCAGGTGGGCGCAGAGGTGAGAGGGTGTGGCCCGGGGCCCTGCCAGGTGGGCAAACAACTCACGCTTGCATAGTTGTGGTTGCTGTCTGGAAGCTGAAGAGGTTTTCCTTGGGGAACCATGTGCGGATGGGGGTGTCATCTGAAAGAGACAAGGAGCAGTGACTAGGATGGCTTGGGGGTTCCTGAAGCCTTTACCCCCAGCTGGTGGGGGAGGGGTGCTTCTGCTGCGGCCAGCACAGGGCCGCGAGGCAGCATGTGCCCACTCAGCTGCCCAGCTGGGGCAGCTCAGCACTGCGGGGTGCTTGTGCTTGCTTAGCGCTCCCTTTGGTTGTCTTCAGTTGAGGAACATTCCTTTGAAAGCACAGCCTGTCTTCAAGGTTCCCAGGGACAGGATTCACTTTGTCTCTCTTTGGGCAGGAGGGGCAGGGCGGGGACAATGGCTGCAGCCCATCCTGGGGATTCAGGCCTTCTCTGCAGCCTGACCCCCTTCCACAGGCCCTTCCAGGAGGCTGAGGTGGAGACTATTGTGGTGACTGCTGTCCCCTCCCAGGAGGGTCATATGGAGTTGGCTGGACCTGCTCGGCAGAACCCCTGCCCCGACCCCTCGCCTGTGTCCATCAGTGGAGCGTGAGGTGCCTGCACCCCAGATAATGCCCAGTGCCCAGGCAGGTGGCGGACTTGGGAACCAGGAGGAGTCCTGGGGGGACATGGCTGCTCAGCTAGTTAGAACGCTGGTCTTTGAGAGGTGACCTCAGAACCAGGAGACATGGGGCTGCCTGAGTGCCCCAGGGAGGCCTCTCCAGACACAGCAGGTCTCTGGGGCTCCGCGGCCACCCACACAGCTGGACAATCCTGGGGAGAGGCCCGCTGGCTGGCCAGGCCCCTAACAGCTGTGTGCCTCTTGGGGTAGGTGGGAGCCCTGCTTGGTGTGCCCTGGGGCAGGGACTGCTCCCCAGGACTCCCCAGAGGCAGCCCGTTATCCCAATGGAACTGTTTTCTGCCTGCTTAACCCTCAAGAGCCTCTAGGGCTCCCTCCTGAGGGAAGCACTCTGATTGACTTGGTGCTGGCAGGGCCAACCATGAGGCATGGGGCGTGGTGGCACGCCGTGCCCTGGGCGCCCTCCAGCTGTCTGGGCATCACCATGGCTGCTGGCAGACCCTGGTACCAGCACTTTGTCCAGCCTGCCTGTACCCTCGACAAGCTCCTCACCAGACACACGGTCCACGCTGTACATCCGTTCCAGCTTCTTGCGGCGACCGGTGGCCTCGGGCAGAGGGGGCTGGTCCATCCTGAAGGCCCGGGGGGAGGGGCCGGGGGCCAGTTGGGCACAACCCGGACACTCCTTGGAGCCCTGACGGCTACCCACCCAGCTCTGGCAGGGCCTGCTGACGTCCTCATGGCTGCCATCCGGGCTGGCACGCAGGGTCTGGCTGTGGTGGTGGGGGTGCCGCTCTGGCTGCCGCCGCCCCTTCACCACTGCCAGCTCGATGGCCTCGGCCTCTGGGCTGGGCAGCAGGGCCGGCTCCCCGGAGATGGTGTACACACGGGGCTGGGGGCCCTCTCCAGCCGGCTTCCCAATGACAGCCTCCTCCGAGAGGCTGCCCTCGTAGCGGCCGTTGGAGACGAGAGACAGGCGGCGCTTATTCTGGGGGGCTGGCTGCATCTCGGGGGACCCGTCGTGGCCAGAGTAGGCATCAGCCAGCAGGTGGTCTGGGGAAAAGGTACCAGGTGAGGCTGCAGCCGCAGGCCCTGCCTTCCCGGTCCGGTCCGGGGTGCTCTGAGGGGCAGGGAGCCCCAGCCCGTGACCAAACTAGACCCTGCCGTCTTCAGAAGAGGCGCTCCTCCTAGAGGCTCCCCGCTCCCTCCTCTCTGGGCCCCAAGCCCCTGGTGCGTGCGTGGGGGCAACAGGATGTGCTTGCTACCTGTGGGTAATGGGGGGGCAGGAACAGCAGGCCACCTCCTAGCCTGCCACCGCACTTGTGTGCCCAGTGCCAACTTCTCCCCTCCCCCCCACCAGCTGGCCCCCAGAGACAGTGGTGCCAACCCTGGGGGTGCCAGGAGGCCTGTTGCTATGCCAACGGCCCAGGCGGGTGGGTGCCATGGTGATGAGTGACTCCGAGCTCCTCCTGGGGCTGCGGGCCAGTCAGGGCAGGGGCCAGGAGGAAGCCAGCCCAGCCCCCAAGGCCCACGGGCAGGGCCTGGCCGGAGCGGGGCACAGCAGGCCCGAGGGTGGAGGGCTGTAGATGGGCCCCATCCTGGCACTGCTTCCCGCGCCGCTACCTGCACCGTTCCGGTTCTCAGGGTGACTCTGGGACAGGTACTCGCCGAAAGCTCGGGCTGCTCTGAAGGGTGAACAGCGGGGCTGTCAGTGCGCACAGGCCCGCCGTGGCCTCTCCCAAAGCCGGAGCCTGGGGTCCCCACCCCGCCAAGGTCCTAGGCACCCGTGAGGGAGGGGTGGGGTCACCCAGGGCGGCGCTCCCACCCCACGCAGAGAGCTCAGGGCTGGCAGGGGACAGTCCTGGGGACCCTTGGGTCCCAGGGCGCCGTGGCCAGACCTGCAGTTCTCGGTCCAGCACCTGTCGCCTGTGTGTGTGTGTGTATGGGGCGCTCGTGATGTCGGGCAGCTGGCCCCCGCAGTCTCGGGGAGGGGAGCCGCAGGGAGGCAGGGGTGGCAGCGGGGGAGGGAGGCGGCGCAGGGCGCCCGGCCGGCCGCACTCACCTCACTTTGGCCGCCACCGAGGACATGGCCTCGCTCCTCAGCGCCCTCCTCCGGGAGGCGGCAGCGCCCATGGTCGAGGCGGCGGCGCATCCCCCGGCCTCAGAGCGCGCCCCGCGCCCGCCGCCTCCGCCGGGGAAGCCGCTCCGCGCCGGGGCTCAGACACGGGCCCGGGACACGCATGGCCGCGCCGGGCCCTCCGCGCGTGCCGCCGCACCGGGAGCCGCGGCCTTGGACCGGGGGCGACGCTCCGCCCACCGTGGCGTCAAGGCCGGGGCGGGGCTGCCTGCCGTTACGTCAGGTCAGGGGCGGGGCTCGCGGGACCGCCCCGTGACGTCAACCCTGAGTCCAGGTTGGGTCGGGCCGTCCACCGTGACGTCACGGCCTGGGTGCGGCTCCGCCCACAGTGACATCAGGGCCAGGGAGGGGCCAGGCGGCAGCGGCCCGGACTAACTAGCCTCTTGGCTCCGTCGCTGCTAACTCTGGAGCAGGGAAACTGAGGCTGGCAGACACCTGTCTGCAAGATCAGGGGTCTCCCTGCCCCTCGCAGACACACATCCCCTGTGCTGAGTCTTGCAGGGATCGTGGGTCCCAAAGTCACAGGGCTGGCAGTTCTCTCTCCTTTTATACAAAAGGACCCCCGGGGGCTATTTAATGACCTGAGAAATAAGGTGTGGGCGTCCCACATCTTAGGAGTGTCTTGTGTGTACTGAGTGTGGACAACGCCTGAAAGATCTGTAGAGGCTAATCCTTGGTTTGAGGGGCCCCAGCTCCATCCCAGACCCTGGGTGCCCTCCCTGCCTGGCCTGGGGTTGTTTCCCAGGGGTCTCAGACCCAGAGGATTGCCTGGGACCCTGGGGTACCCACATGGTGACCTCCCAGGAGGGCAGGCAATGGCACGCCCACCCGGCCGCAGGGATGTGGCCCTTACAGTGGCCAGTGAGGGGGACGGCTGCTCCTCAGCTCCAGACAGGAACTTCTTGGGGTGGCTCTCGGCCAGGGGGACCTCAGCACAGGGTCGACGCGTCCCACATAATCAGATCTACTTTATTGCCACGCTAAACAGGAGCACTGGGGCTCCAACATCTCAGGGCTTTGGGGCTCACAGGGGCAGTCACGCCCCGGGGGTGTGGTGGGGGGTGTGGGGTGTGTGTGTGTGTGTGTGTGTGTGTGTGTGTGTGCGCGCGCGCGCGCGCGCGTGCGCTGCAAGAACCAAGTGCTCCACCAGGAGCTGCCAGTGCAGAGGCACAAGACCCCCCAGTCAGGCCTCCTGCCCTCAGGAGCTGCAGCCTTGGGGACAGGCCCACAGGAGGTGCTGGCTTCAGGGAGCATCAGGGCAGTGACCTCTGCCCATCCTGGCCAGAGAGCCAGGGACACAAGGATCCTGGGCCGGTTCCAGGGAAGCCAGACTGGGGCGCCTGTGGTGAAGTGCGGGCTCATCCTCCTGGAAATAAACGGCACCGTCACGGTAGGGACAAGCCAGAGAGGGGACCCTGGTCTGAGGGGCAGCAGGGTGGGTCCAGGCAGCTCACCGAGTCGGAGCCCAAGCCGGCCGGGGCGCTCTGGAAGTCAGCGTAGGCGTCTGGGGGGCCGTCTGGCAGCGCCTCCTCGTACTCACTCAGGTAGTCGGACTCGTCTGAGCAGAGGGGAGGGCCATGTTTGTCCCCTCCCACAGGCAGCGGGTCCCCACGGCACAGCCAGCCAGGCCCAGGGCAGCTTGTCGAGCGTGGGAAAGGTCAGGAAGAGACGCTGCCACCGCCACCCTCAGCTGTACGGGCGCACCTCCTGAGCGTTCAACTCACCATCCACCACGGCCACCTGGGGAGGCTCGATGCGTGACACAATCTCGGCAAGGTCCGTGAAGGAGGCGTTGGGGCAGGTAAGCACCTGGAGGGCCGAGGTGGGGGGCGTATCTGGCCAAGGCCACCACTCCCCACGGCCCCTGGCTGCCCCGCTGGGCCACCAGCCTCGCCCCGTGACCCTCGCTTGCTGAGGATCCCCAGCCCCAGGATAGGGCCAGGGCATGGAAGACCCCCACCCAGACCACCATCCTCTCCCACCATGAGCACCACAAGGGCAGGGAGCTGGCGCGGCAGAGGCTAGGGGCCAGCGACCAGGGTCACTGCCGTGACTGTCTCCTGCCCGTGGGGGGCGCTGCAGCATGAGCAGTTGAGGAGGTGATCTGAGGTGCTGCGGGCTGCAGGGAGCCCTGTACCTATCACGGTGGGAGCACAGGTCACAGGGAAGGAGGGCTGCCAGCCCAGCCGGGCACTCACATCGCATGCCTTCATCTTGCTCGTCCCCTGTCGGTCCTGCAGCATCTTCTCCAGCACACCACTTCGACCCCAGATGTCAAATACTGTCCGTCCGTGCTGGTACCCCACTTCCTGCACACACAGTGAGGACCCCGGGACTCGGTGCCAGGCCCCAACCTGGGGACCCGGTGACCCCAGGACTGGGTGCCAGGCCCCACCTGCTACACAGACCCCAGGACCTCGTGCAGGCCTCCTCCCCGTGCTCCCAGAAGTGAGGTCAGGGAGGCTGGGAAGAGGCGGCAGACACGGGCACGCTGGCCAGGCCCCACGCACTCACAGAGATCTCGGTGAACTTGCCAAAGTCCAGGGTGCCATAGCTGTCGATGGGCGGGCGCAGGTACTCGCAGTAGTCACTGTTCCGCACTGACTCCAGCTGCCGCACGCAGCACACATAGGCCAGGCGCGTCTGGATCTCCGCCATGTTCAACACCTGCCACAGCGCCCCCAGGGGGCAGGGCTCTGCTAGGCCTGTCCCTGCCCTAGCGCCAGCCCCCGGAAGGCGCGAGTGGTGCTGGACCCAGAGCCTGCAAGGCACGACCGCATCCCCTGCCCACAGGAGGCGCCGGGGCAGCCCCATACCGCCCACCCCAGGGACACAAGGCTGCCCCACCTTGACTTTTGTGGCCAGAGGGTTCCAGCGTTTCCAGAGCAGCCACCACCCTGACAGCGCGTCGCCGTAGTTGGTGAGGTCCGTCTCGTCCCGGCTGCCCACGTCAATGGCGATCACCACCTTGGCCCCCATCGACCTGGCCACATCCGCTGGGGAAGAGGCAGCCCTGGTAACTACCCAGGACAGGTAGGCAGAGCTCCAGGTGGGGCGGGGCAGAGCCTGCGGGACAGGCCCTGCGGGGGCAGCCTGGTGCACAGAACTGTCCAACAGGTGACAGGTGTGCACAAGGGAGGGGCCGCAGCAAACCCAACGCCTGCGGGCTGTCAGCTCCGACTGTGGCACAGATAGGACATCTGCAGCTGGCCCTTGTTCTGAGCGCCGCTGAGCTGACACATAGCCATATGCTGGGCCTCACAGTGCCCGCGTGCGTGCGTGCACGTGCTTCAGGCAGCTGTCCTTTCCCTCGGTACACTCAGGAAAACGTGTGCCCGCAGGAACAGAGGCGCGGTACCTGGGAGGTTGTTGATATAGCCCCCGTCCATCAGCAGGTGTCCGTCTTTGGGGTCGCAGAGGGGAGGCATATAGCCCGACAGGGACATGCTGGCACGCACATACCGCCACAGGGAGCCTGCGAGGGGCAAGGGGCGGTGGGGAGTCACCAGACAAGCCAAGGGCCCAACAGGAGCCCTCCCTGCCCAGTGTTCCTGCCCCGGACCCTGGGCTCCTGAAGCCTGCACGTCCCACCTCTGGGGAGGGCGTGGGCCTGGCACACCAGGACATCGTCCTCCCCAGGAAGGGACCCGAGGTCCAAAGGAGGCCAGGCTTGTGCTGGGGTTTCTTACGTCCCCCATGCTGGCTCCAGTCGGTGTGCCAGAGCCTCTTCCAGCCCCGCCTTTCTCCCGGCACGAGAACACGCTGCCACCCACAGATGGCTTTCTCCGCGTCATCTCACCACTGCCAGTTTTAACAGACAGACGCCCATAACCTGTGTATGCCCTTCACTCCTCTCCCCCTCAGCCCACACTCGTCTCCACCTCTCCCTGTGTCTTGTTTGGCCTTCTGGGGGCATCTCTGGGCTCCTGGCGATTCCCCAACACCCTGTGGCAGGCTCATCTCTGTGTTCAGGTTTCCCCGAGCCTTCCCCTCCCTTAGGTGATCCTGGGACAGCGCCCCCACGCCCCAGGCTCACTGAGCCACCAGGCCCCCCTCTGCCCCTGCCTAGAATTCCTCCTTCAAGGCACCTCCCCTGGGCTGCTCTGCCCTGAGTGGGGGCCACGGAGAGGGGAGCCCTACACCCGGCGGAGGTGCTCACCATCTGTGTGGACCCGCATGGTGGAGGCTGAGATGTCCGTGGTGATGGTGAAGTAGGGGATCCACAGGTCCTGGGGGAAGGACGGGGCTCAGGACATGCTCCCTGGCTGCTGGCACCCCACCCTTTGGGCTGGGGGGTGCTGAGTGTGCTGACACTGGCCTGGCTGGGGCTCCCCAGGGCAGCACCTCGATCTGCCGGTCCTTGAAGACACTGTACACGCTGCTGTTGAAGCCTGCCCCCGAGAACATGGAGGTGATAGGGTAGGTCAGGTCCAGCACGGCCCTCAGCATGGACGTCATGTCCTGAGGGGAAGCACAGTGAGGCCCCGTGAGCAGGAGCAGGGCGCGTGCCGCTCCCCCCGCCAGGAGTCCTAGGGGTCCAGCAGGAGTCCAAGTCTGGAGAAGGGAGCAGAGACCCGGGCACATGTGTGTCCTTCCCGCAAACAGGACATGGGTGTCCAGGAAGCATTTGGGGGCAGTGAATGCTGTGGCGTGAGCAGCGTGCCTGCAGGCCCCATGCAGATGCCCACTGACCCTCGGCAGGCCTGGAAGCCCAGCCCTTGCCACCTGCTCCATGGGGACAGTGCCAGGCACAGCCATGATAAGGTGCAGAGCAGCCCGCAGCGCCCCCGCCCGGGCCCTGAGGACCCCCGGGAGGGGAGGGCCTCACACACCACACGGTAGGTGCTCCATCTGGGTCCCGGGACGCAGCAGGCCTGCGAGGGCTCTCACTCCCCGAGCCCGTGCTCTCTGCTGGCCCCAGGCTGCCGCTCAGCGAGGAGGGGGCCCATCAGGGCCACGAGGAGGAGGACGCAGCGCTGGCCTCACCCCAGCAATGCCGGGTCAAGACTGCCCAGCTCCTTAGGGCTCAGGGGTGGACAGCAAGGGTCCTCTCTGCCTGTGGACATGGGGTGGCCCTGGCTAGGATGAGTCGCCCGCCCCCATGTCTCACTCCAAGAAGTGTGAAGACCCGTCGAGCGGGGAGAACACGTGCTCCTGGAGGACAGGGATCCAGGACACGAAGGACATCCCCAGGGTCCTCTGCAGTCAGCATGGCCCTCCCTTGCAGACAGGCAGAGCTGGAGGACAGCCTGGGAAGGGCCCTGCCCAGCACCAGAAGGGCCGACAGAGCCAAACCTGGCAGCCGCCACGGCCACGCCATCCCCTCGGGCCTGGGAAGGTGCCATCCTGTCCCGGCGTACACTCAGGACTCCCCGGCCGTTCCCACACCTGCACCAGGCTGGCAGGGGTGGGGAAGGGACCCTCGCTGAGGCTGAAGCCCACCATCCCCTGTGGCCGCTGCTGTCAGAGCCAGTCCTTAGTGACAGTGAGGCTAAACCCCTGGCCCCTCTGAGGGCAGCAGGGTGGCTCATTCCGGGGAAAGAGGTGACTGGAACAGAGTCCCCAGAGCTTCTGCTGCAGAGGACAACTGACTTCCTTCTCTTTTTAAAAGGAGAACGCAAACACTTTTGACCCGTCTGTTCTATGAAAACAAGCAGAGCCCTGAGGGAAGGTGAGCATCCCTCCTACGCCGCGGTCCTGAGGTCCAGGGTTTGTCCGCCGGCGTTCACGCATCACAAGACGGGGAGGGTGTTGACGGTGCTACTTTTCTGTATTCCTGATGCTCAGGCTTTTGAGGGCTTTACAGACCCGGGAGAGACCGGGCTAGCCAACTCTTAGAGGCCAGTAGCTCGCCCTGGACGTGTCTTCCATGCAAACCAACCCATGCAGAGCCCTGCCCCCTTTATCAAACTCGCACACCAACTCATCCCAGGGCCGGGGACCAGACAGACTGGGTACAGACCCCAGACCCCGAGCCCGCCAGAATTATTTAAAGGAGCTGATCTTAAGCTGTTTACCCTGCCTTTCCTGCAGAAACCCCAGTAAGTGCCTGGAGCTCCTCCTCACCCCTCTCTGCCTCCTGACGGGGGCTGGTGCTCCCCTGTGGCCTGGTGGTTCCAGGAAAATTGTGTGGGTAACATTAAACTTTTCTTTCAAGGGCATTGATTGACCTCTGCATGTTGTCCTCGGTCACCAACCAGAGCCAACCTCCCAATACTGCTATGACCACACCCTTGGTGCTCCCCCTCGACCCCACAAGCCATGGTCCCTAAGCCCCCCAACCCACACAGCCCCACGGGGACTGGCCCTAAGCTCCAGAGATGGGGAGCCCCGTACCTCAGCCCACTGCTTGGCACGGATCCGAATCTGGCTGTAGTTCCGCTCCTCAGAGTACAGGGCGCCGATGAAGGCCCCGATGGACGTCCCTCCGACCATGTCCACGGGGATGCCGTACTCCATCAGGGCCCGGATAACGCCGACCTGGGCACAGCCTCTGTGCCAACCAAGAGCACAGAGTGGGCAGTAGTGCCACCTCGGGGACCAGCACCCATGACGGCCCGTCCCACCCACTCAATGCCCGACTCGTGCCTAAGGCACAGAAAATGGGGCAAAGACTCCAACTGGAAGAGTGACTTCGGACAGTATTTAGAGCCTCTCTGGTGTCCTGAGATGCAAGCCAGCATTCAGCCCCTTCTACCCACCAGTGTCTAAGAGGCTGTGCAGCTAAACAGGGCTTGAATGGACTCAGGAGGGATAGGGGCCAGGAGTCTAGGCCCACTGGAGGGGGACTGTGGTGAACACACCAAGGGTCAGGGTGAGCAGGACACAGACAGGCCCCCACAGGGACACGAAAGCCAGAGTCTGACTAGGTGATCACTCTGAGCCTCAGACGACTGTTATCATTTCTCATATGTGACATTCCCCACTCCAGCAGAAATGAGCAGTCATGAGAGAAGACCCCCATGACCACAGCCAGGAGAGGAAACAGGCGCTAGACATGGACCCAGAGGAAGCAGACAACAAGGATACTGACGGGCTATGAAATTACTGCTTAAAAAGCCAAGGAGCCAAAAGATGGAACAGCCTGGGAGCCTCTCGACACATGAATGAGTAAAAAAAGTGCAGTGTGTCCACACAGTGCAGCGTTACTCAGCCCTGAAAAGGAAGGAGGTCCTGACACCCGCTACCACGTGGATGGACCCTGGGGACACTGTGCTCAGTGAAATGGGCCCGTCACAGAAGGATGGATCCTCTGGACCCCCCCTCACAGGAGGTCCCCAGAGGAGTCAGATTCAGAGAAACAGGAAGTAGCTGGTGGGGGCTGCGGTTGAGGGAAGGGGTGGGAGTGAGTGTTTCATGGGGACAGAGGGTCAGTTTGGGGAGATGAGAAAGTCCTGGAGATGATGGAGGTGGTGGCCGCACAACAATGTGACTGTGCCTAGTGCCACTGAGCTGGCACCTAAATGTGGTTAAAATGATAAATGTTATGGTATACATACTTAACACAAATAAAAAATTTGTATCTTTGGCATAGAACAGGAAACTATAAAACTGAACTGAATGAAAACTTTAGAAGTGAAAAATGATGAACTTAATAAATGGGTTTAATAGCAGTTTAGACACAGCTGAAGAGAGAAACAGTGAAATAAAGATAGTTTAGAAGAAAATGTTTATTGACTCAGCATCAACAGGATGGAAGATGTAAATATCTTTTTAAAATGTGTAAAATAGCCTAGACAAAATGGTGGTGCAGAGATGTGAGTCACATGTCACTGGAGCCAGGACAGAAGCAGTATCTGAAGAGATAATGGTTTAGAATTTTTTAGAACTCATGATCGACATCAAGAATCAGGTTCAAGAAGCACTATATGCTCTAAGCACTCCTACAATGTCGAAAACCCCAAACACAAAAAACCTCAAACCAGCCTGAAAACAAAAAGTAAAATTAAGGAAGCAACAAAGGTAAGAGCAGAAGTTAATGATCCAGAAAACAGACAGACAACAGAGAAGATCAACAAAGCTGAAAGTCGGTGCTCTCAAAGGACTAATTCAATTGATAACTCCCGGCAAGAAGGGAAGGAAGTGGCGGGAGAGTATCCGTTACTAACATCAGTGTCCACCCGCTCTCCTGTCTGTAGGGGTCTCAGGCCAGGACTTGAAGCCTTGGGTGTCCAGTTTGGGGAAGCAAGGGGAGTGAGTTCAGTTGGATGAGCAGTTATGGGGTTCACCTGCATTATCTTTCGGATCCTTTCTAAAGAAGAGGGTTTGAGTCCTCCCTGACCTGGCAGCTGGACTGTACCTCTCACTCTACTTGGCCAAGGAGAAAAATGGACGCAAGCATGGGTCTGACTCTAGATGCAGGAGACGTCTTGGCAGAGTGCCTCCCTCCCCAGTGACTGCTAAGGGCTTCTGTCCTTCCGCCCCCTCCCTTTCCCAGCTCACTTTGAAAGTGATGTCCTTGGGCAGCTTCTCTGGGGCACTGGGAAAAGGTGCCCATCACTGTCAGAGGGCCAGGACTCAGGACACAGGGTGCCCAGGAGGCTGGAGAAGCAGCACATACATGCCAGGTGGCCCTGGGCACCTCACTTGGCCAGCAGCGCCTGCAGAGAGCCGCCACAGGACGGGGGCGGGGACTCACCTTGCGCCTCCTCCCCCAAGCACCAGGGCGATGGCATTGCCGGTCAGCACCCGGGCCAGGCGGGAGAAGTCCGAGTGCCGGTCTGGAGGCCTCTGGAAGACCCGTTCATACATCTCCACCTGAGAGAGGGGCCAGACCGGGGAGGGCCGGGCTGAGTTCCCACGGGTCTTAACCTCTCCTGACCAGGCGGGTTTCCTACACTCCCCACCCCAAGGTCTCTCCACGACACTGGAGGGCTCTGTCTGATACCCACAGTCAGCATGTCAGCACCCTGGTGCCCAGGCTCTCCTGGGAGAAGGCCCTGAGAAGGGCCACTGGGCGAGTGCAGGGCAGGAGCCGACAATCAGCTCACCCACACGGAGAGGTAAGCCGCCCTGGCAGAGCCC